AAAGGTATACACTTTGAAGTAGCAGTATGTAGTGTGTTTTTAAAACAATCCCACATCTGGTCTGTGTTTAGGTTTTGAAATAAGTTTTCCCATTTTATTTCCCCCACTAGGTTGCGCAGCTTATCAAAGTTGGCCCTTCTGAAGTTTAGGGTTCTAGTCCTTCCACTACACTTTCCTTTTCTGTGTTCAATATTAAAAGTAATCACATTGTGATCACTATTACCCAATGACTCCCCAATTACAATATCCTCGATTAACTCTGCATTATTAGTGACAATTAGATCTAAGATGGCATTTTTTCTGGTAGGAGTCTCCACCATCTGGTCCATGAAGTTGTCGCGCAACATGTTTAGAAATCGCCCCGCCTTTGCCGAACCCGAAGTTCCATTGGCCCAATTTATGTCTGGGTAATTGAAGTCACCCATCACGACTGCATTGCCCTCTCTCCCAGCTATTCCTATCTGTGAGTGAAGATTGACTTCTCCCTCTTCCCCTATATTTGGAGGTTTATAGCAAATACCCACGAGAAGTTTACGGCTAGCGTCCGTCATATCTAGCTCCAGCCATAGAGTTTCCACGTCTTCCCCATTATTTGACGTGATATCGTCCCTTATATGCACATATAGATTATTTTTTACGTAAATGCAAACACCCCCCCCTCTTCTCCCACCTCTGTCCCTCCTAAACAGGTTATACCCCTCTATATTAGTAGCCCAGTCATGAATATTATTGCCTTCTGAATATTATTATTATTATTATTAGCTCTTTATAAAATAAAAGGAGACATTACAGTTACAATACAGCTCAGTGCATGAGGTTCTGGGGGCCCTAACATAGCACAGATAATACTGCCACTGTTTTATACATTGTTGTGTTTATGAATTTCTTGGTGTGTGTATCTCTGTGTGTATCTATCACGTTGTGTGTATCTCTTTGTGTATCTCTGAGTGTATCTATCATGTTGTGTGTGTGTATCTCTGTGTGTTTCTATCACGGTGTGTGTATCTCTGTGTGTATCTCTGAGTATATCTATCATGTTGTGTGTATCTCTGTGTGTATCACGTTGTGTGTATCTCTGTGTGTATCTATCACGGTGTGTGTATCTCTGTGTGTTTCTATCACGGTGTGTGTATCTCTGTGTGTATCTTTCACGGTGTGTGTATCTCTGTGTGTATCTCTAACGCTGTGTGTATCTCTAACGTTGTGTGTATCTCTGTGTGTATCTATAATGTTGTGTGTATCTCTAACGTTATGTGTATATCTGTGTGTATCTATCACGTTGTGTGTATCTCTGTGTGTATCTATCACGGTGTGTGTATCTCTGTGTGTATCTCTAACGTTGCGTGTATCTCTGTGTGTATATATTACGTTGTGTGTATCTCTAACGTTGTGTGTATCTCTGTGTGTATATATCACGTTGTGTGTATCTTTGTGTGTATCTATGACGTTGTGGGTATCTCGGTGTGTATCTATGACGTTGTGGGTATCTCGGTGTGTATCTATCACGGTGTGTGTATCCCTATATGTATTTATCACGATGTGTGTATCTATCACAGTGTGTGTATCTCTGTGTGTATGGATCACTGTGTGTGCATCTCAGTACGTATGTATCACGGTGTGTGTATATATCACTGTGTGTGTATCTCTGTGTGTATCTATCACGGTGTGTGTATCTCTGTACATATTTATCACGTGTGGGAGAATGTTGCCTTTGCTTTGCTGTGTTGTATTTCTATGTGAGGTGTGTTGCCTTTCATGTAGTGGGGTGTTTCTCTTTGGGTCAGGGAGGTCCGT